TGTTTAGCTTTATTGATTTCTTAAAATTTTTATGTAAAATTTCAGATATACAGAAAAGTTGCAAGAATAGTACAAAGAATTCCTAAATACCTACCACTCAGATTCCTCAAATGCTAACATTTTGCCATGTGTTTTGTCATCCTCTCTCTACGTTGTTTTTTTCTGAATCATTCGAGAGTAAGTTACAGAGATGATGTCTCTTTACCCTTAAATCTTTCAGTGTGTATTTCCTAAGAGCATTTTCTTAACATAACTACAGTACATCATAATAATAATCAGGAAATGAACATTCGTTTACTTCCTTATCTAATCTATAGACCTTATTTAGATTTTGCCAGTTGCTGCAAAATGTCTTTATCGAGGAAGATAAATAAACATATATTTTCTGGTCTGGTATCCATTCCAGAACCACGCATTGCATTTGGTTATTTTTTATTTTTAAAACTTAACTGTGAAATATACCAAGAGGGCTGTGCATAAATCCTGGTATTTCAGGCCTTATAACCTACCTGTGCTCTATGAGCTTTGGTTCATCCTGAGGTCTCAGCATTGCGGAAAGGGTACAGAGGCTGGCATTACTGGACCTGATGATTGCTTACTCTGAGTCTTTGCACATGCTGTTCTCTGCCTGGAACAGCCTCCTTCTTTCCAGACTCGTCCTCCAGTTCTCACCTCTTCCAGAAAGGCTTCTTTGCCTCTACTCTAGGCAGGATTAGAAGCCATTCCCTAATCTGAATCCCCCTTCCCTGTGGATATAGAATCTATCTCAGCACAAAACACTCCGTATTAGAATTTATTTTTGTAGTTGTCTCCCCCTTGAGCTGGTCAGGTCCCTAAGGCAGCTGAGACCTTCCAACACCGTTTTTTCGTCCCGTAAACTTGTCATACATGTGGAAAACTTAGGCCTTGACGTCATAGTTTTTGTTCTGTTTTGTTTTTGGAGAGGGGATTCACAATTTCTACCTGTGATAATGAGATCACCTCCATGTTAAAACAGTTGCTTAAAGACACATATTAAAGTCTCCACAGCTATTTCTCCTTATGGGTAGAAACCGTTTTTCATATTACTCTCCGGCCTTTTGCAGTCAAGGCTTAATCTGACCCTGATAACCTTGGCTAGCCCTGTCCTGAGGGAAGAAAGTAGACTCTAAGCAGATCACGTGCCCCTTTCCCATCTTTTTGGGAGCAGATCCCGGGAGGGAAATGAGTTTTATTTTGGAGGCTCTTTTTTTTTTTTTAAGATTTTATTTATTTATTTGACAGAGAAAGACACAGCGAGAGAGGGAACACAAGCAGGGGGAGTGGGAGAGGGAGAAGCAGGCCTCCCGCCGAGCAGGGAGCCCGATGCAGGGCTCGATCCCAGGACGCTGGGATCATGACCTGAGCTGAAGGCAGACGCCTAATGACTGAGCCACCCAGGCGCCCCTATTTTGGAGGCTTTTGCTCAGAAAACTTAGGGGATGCCCTGTGTCCCCAGAATCAGGTCCAAACTCTAGTCTCGCACTTAGGCTCTTCTTGACTTGGCTGTCTACTTGTCTCATCCCCCACTCTAAAGCCCTCCCCCAACCAAAGTGGCCTTTAGGTAATGCTGACAACTAATTGACGTTAATGAAATGTTGACATTAATCAAAAGGGACTCAGAAACCACGAACATTACTGAGCACCTACTATGTGCTAGGAGTGGTCTAAGAGCTTTACACACATGTGATTCTAACTCTTAGCAGGGTTAGGATTTGAACTTTGTTACTTATCCTTATCCTATTGAAATTCACTTATCCTATTGAAAACTTCATGTCCTCGTGTATAAAATGGGGGTAATTCATGTTGCCCCACAGCACTTGTGAATGTTTTTGCTCAATTATCCATGCTTCCTATCAACTCCCTATGATGCTAATATTACCATTATAATCATTTGACCACAGGGCTCTTTGCTGTATCTTCTTGTTCACCCTTACCTACTTCAAACCTTTCGCTAGGTTAACATTTCATCTTTTAGGGCAAGTATCATCTCTGGGAAGCCTTCCCACACTGCTCGGGTGAGGTCAGGCCTCCTTGTGATGTACTCTTGGAGTGCTGCATTCGGGGGAGACAACTAGTAGTTCTGGTGGTCAAAATACTGACATGCCTCCAGACCAGTTGATAAATGGTTCCTGCCCCAGCTCCCCGCGGACTTTGGCAACTAACTGGGTAAGACTTCACCCAGAAGGAGGCTTCCAGGATCCTACTTCATTCAATGTAGGTCCTGTCACCCTTGCCACACACTACGTCTGGTTCGTAATTAAACAGTGATTTGAGCCATTGGTCTTGTCCTCTGCCTCTCCTACCAGACAGGAAACTTTTATTGATTTATTTTTAATTTACTATTTTTTAAGATTATTATTTTTAGGTAATCTCTACACTCAACATAGGGCTTGAACTTACAACCCTGAGATCAAGAGTTGCAGGCCGTATCAATTGAGCCAGCCGGGCACCCCCTAGACTGGAAACTTTTTTTTTTTTTTATTTATTTATTTATTTGAGAGAGCGAGAATGAGAGAGAGTACATGAGAGGGGGGAGGGTCAGAGGGAGAAGCAGACTCCCCGCCGAGCAGGGAGCCCGATGTGGGACTCGACCCTGGGACTCCAGGATCATGACCTGAGCCGAAGGCAGTCGCTTAACCAACTGAGCCACCCAGGCGCCCGAAACTTTTTTTTTTTT